ATAATAGTAATAATAGAGGGCTAGGCTCAACTCACCTTGGGGCTGCTTGGCAAAGCTGGGCAAGACAGTGATCCAAGGAGATCTCTTCGCTTACAGCCTTTGCTGGAACAAAGTCCCCGTCTTATATAGGCTTCAGTTAAGACCCCCCGGCCTTTTACAGAAGTCCTCAGACCACGTCATCGCTCAAATGACCGAGGGGATGAGACACTGTATCTGACAAGACCTGCTAGCTAATCAAATTGATATTTATATCTCACCGGAATGTACATTCGGCCTTAGACAATCTAAGAAGTTTTCAAGTCACACCATTTCCCTCCTAATTGCTGATTCTTAATGAACACCGGAGGAAAAATAGAGTCTTTTAGGGTTGTGGTGGGCTATAAGTAAGCCAAGCAAATCAACAAATAAATATTTTCGGGGGGAGGGAATCATTTTTCTTGGGTTGGGACCCAGTTCGGCACTGGCTTTTATTTGATTTTTTTTTCATTATTATTTGATTTTATTTATTTACTTCTTTGACTTTTAGCTAGCGTTTGGTGAAACGGGCTGCTAGGAGCATTTCTCAGTGAGTGCAGACCTTGCAGGCAAATGTCACCCGCTGGAATCAATGAAATGAAATGACGAGCCGAACTGGTGTGTGGAAGTAGTCTGATTCATAATGAAGAACAGCTTCCCACTCGCCCCTTGGCTTGGTCAGTGGTAACCGTATGCATCTGGAAGTAATTGCCACTGAATTCAGTAGGACTTATTTCTTGATAAACACACATGGAATTGTGTTCTACGTCTCTAAAAACATTCCTTCTGCCTATCGTCCTTTCAGTACACTTCCATATCTGTTCACTTGCCCAAATGCTCAGTGAATCAAAACTTTTTTTCCCTTCTGGTATGTATATAGAGATTCAGTCTGACACCATTTCAGCATTAAACGCGAAGGCTCAGATTTCAAGATAAGCCATACTGTTACCAAGTTTGCTTTTCCTTTAATTCCCTCTAAATTTGCCTGGAGCCCAAGGATGAGTGATTCTTTGTGGAAAGAGAGGACCATGAAAGATGACAATTTCCAGATGTGGTGGGTGTACTCCATTGTTGATATGTTTTGGCCCTAAGAATGTGTTCCTCAAAGTTTGGAACAAGGGCCATTCTTCATTTTCTCTTTTGTCCCTAGCTTATGGTCTCTGAAGTCATCAGCAATAATCTCAGATGAGCTTTGGGGACATTCTTGCTGCACCACGGAAAGATCAAGGAAGGAAGGATTGATCAATTAGGACATATTCCTCTGAAGTATCTTTGACAGAAAGCAGCAGATGTTGAATAATGGGAAAGCATGCAAATACTGGGCAGATTCCCTTACAAATTTAATGTGGATCGGGGAGTTTTAATTATATTAATTAATTGTTTATGAGTCCCATGTGTCCAAAATAACTATCCTACCTATTATGGAGATTAGATTACAATGAGAATTCTTCTTACAACTGAAAACCAGGGTAATAAATGTAAGGGAGAGACTGGTTGTTTAACAGAGAATGCACTTTTCATGAGACGAATTAGATAATATTGTTGTTGAGGATGATGTACTGTAGATCATGATGATGAAGAAGGTCATGATGACAATGATGATGATATTATCTAATCTGCCTCATAAAAGCCATTTTGTTAGAATAACCCTGACATGCTCTCAAAATCCCATATATGCTGTCTGATCCTAGAAGTTGCCTATCACGGATCTTCCCCTGGATTTCACTGAGGCTTATTTTATATCCTACCTGGAGATGCTAGGAATCACATTAGAGATTTCAGATGCTCTACCACTCAACCACTGCCCTCTGTTCCTTCCAAAGATGGTGGCCCTAACACAAGCCTGGAACTGAGCAACTGCCATGGTTCCCCCCGCTCTACTGGCTGGTGCCAATTAGGTTTCCATAGGCAGGCCTAGATCCATAAACTAACAAGAATGTTTGGCACTCAGACAATTTAGACCCCATGAATGTAATGAATTCAAGTCTAAATACTTTGTCTTAACCGGCTCGTGGCTGCTTCTCCACTTGCAGCTTCTCCTGGCAACAAGAAGAAGGGGACACATGTTTGAGAGTGCGCTGGATATACACCAGAAATATGTCACTTTGAGAAGGAACTCCCTGTACGATATCTCATTGGGCTGGAGGTCAGCCCATTTCAGAACTATGAGCTCCTTGACTCCCAGCAGCTGAATCTGCTTCTCAGTTCCAGACAGGAGGAACTGGAAATGGATGGAAGTTTTGCTCTCATTAGGACTTCTGCTAAGCCAAAAGGCCAAAGGGTAGGGTGAAGAGCTGGGTTCTTCCATATTTGTGAGCTGGGAATAAAACCAACAGAACATGACAGATCTGAGTTTCTAAGAACACATATGAAGTAAATCTCCAACCATTGGTAGACCACTCCAAAGCTGTAGTGCTGGAATTGGACCAGATGAATTTAAAAATCATGCAAATGATGAGTTTGACTTATCACATGACCTTTCATAGTCATCACTGGTTGGGTTGCACAACCCCATCACTCATGATTTGGAAATTGGAAGCAGACAACTTGAGATTTGAGGGCCACATCTAGCTCCCAAACACACCTACGATGAAAACAGATGGCATGGCTTTTTGAGAAGCACCCAGACATGATACCATAAGCTCTAAATAGATGGAATACAGTTAATAACATTCTGAAATTCCTTCTAAACATCTTTAAAAAAAGAAAGAAAGAAAACCTCAGCACACATGTGTTCGATGAAGCCCTCTGTTCTGTATCATTCATCTCATAAGTGTGGGTGTGAAATGCAATGTTAAGTAAACATTTCAGGTGCCAATCATTCCTAACTTGAAGTTACAGTTTCTAGAGGGGAGCCCTTTTAACTGGCTGCTGCATCCGGAGTGAGCTGCTAGCTTATATTTGGAAACAGAGATGGGGACCCTTCTTTGGACCCCAGATACAATTTAGCATGGTGTTTCTTGCTGAGAGCTACGCCCGAAACAACGTAAGGCCAGATGTTGCATTCGCTTGCGCCTAACCTTAGCACCAACCTACTCTGGCCCATCAGTGGAGAAGATTTCAGCTCAGCCATGGGAAGAAGCTGGTAGTCTGAAGAACAATGACATCCAAACCTCAGGAAAGAGAATTATGACTTCTGCTTTGAATGGCCTTCCTGTTTTCTTCCTGTTTTAAATGATGGACTGATGGTATGATTCTGTTTTCATTGGTAGCTCTCTGTGGAGTGAGAGACCTTTCTGAGATCAGAAGGGGATAGGTAAATAATCATATGCAAATTGACATTGGCAAACCCATGCCCAGCTCTTATAATAAGTGCATTATAAGATAAGATAAATAATAAGTGGTTACTTATTATAATCAGACTTGTCTTGATCCTACTGGCCTTTCGCAAGGGATTAAAAATTTGGCTTTGCCATCAAGCCTGGGGCCCTGATAGTGTGGGCGAGTGCGTTTCTTGGCTACGTTGATTGTGGAGCGCTATGAGTTTCTCAGTTGCTATTTTTTATGTGATGTAGGTTTATAATTATAGGTTTTGTTTTTATTCTGTTTTTATCCCGTTTTAACCATCAGCTTCCCATAATAGTGAATACGAGTTGGGCGGCCGTGTACATCTAATAAATAAATAAATGGACATTTCATTTAATCTTCTTGGAGAACCTTGATGGACTCATGCGTAAGCTAGCTATTTATTTATTCTCAAAAGAATGTGTATATGAATGGATGGCATGGAAAGAGCGGTGTGATTAGGTTACAACGTGCCAATAGGTGGCACCAGAGGAAATAAGTTCTATGGAAAATGCTTCTGATGTTCTCTACAGAGGAACACTGGTCTCTTCTCACCACCTCAGCCTATGGCACAGTAAGTATTCCCTGTCCCCTGCCTCTCCTCCACTTTCCTACAGAGGTGGTGGTTTTCCTCTTGAATGGATGTGTTCAAGCAGAAGCTAGACAGCCATCTCTTGGGGATATTTTAATTTGGATTCTTCCACTGAGCAAAGGATTTAGAACCGATGATGACCCCTTCCAACTCTGATTCTATTATTTATTGACTAATCCAAGGAGGAAACTAGAGGTTCAGTGAGACATCTCGGTCTCATGCCGAGGCCTGCTTCTTGAGGTCCACTTCATTTTTGCTCTATGCATTGAGGCAGTCTCTACACCGTCTCCTATATTAAGAGTGCAAAGAGAGGTAGTTCCTGGTATCTCCAGGTAGGATTGGGGAAAAAAGTGTCCTAAGGACTATGACCAAATGGATTTCTCGTGCAAGGCTTTCTCCACAACACCTAACCAGTTGATGATGAGAAGCCTTGCAAAGAGGATATAAAGAGAAAAATATCCTTCCGTTTATGCTTCC